TACATCATCCTGGTAAAGCTAATGTGGTAGCTGATGCCTTGAGTCGTAAGACAGCTCACTCATCTGCAATGTTAACGAGACAACACAACATTCAGATGGAGTTTGAACGAGCCCAGATAGCTGTCATGGTCAGGAAAGCGACAGCTCAGCTAGCTCTTATGACTATTTGTCCGACGTTGCAGGAACAAATTATTCGGGGTCAGCAAGGGGACCCTTATTTTTCAAAAGTTGTGAGGCAACTTGAGACTGAAGAAATCAAGGATTTCTGGATAACGGGTGATGGATGTTTGAAGTGGCAGAACCGAACTTGTGTGCCAAACGATGTAGAGATCAAGAGGAAGATTCTATCTGAAGCTCATGAGTCGCCCTATACTGTACATCCAGGTTCCACAAAGATGTATCAAGATTTGAAAACATGCTTTTGGTGGCCTGGGATGAAGAAAGATTTTCTGAATATGTGAGTAGGTGTTTAACTTGTCAACAAGTTAAGGCACCTAGACAGAAACCAGCTGGATTATTGCAACCTTTAAATGTGCCTTAGTGGAAGTGGGAAGAAGTGACTATGGATTTCATTACAGGACTGCCTAGAACCCAGTTAGGGTTTACAGTGATATGGGTCATTGTGGATAGATTAACTAAGACAGCCCATTTTATACCGGGTAAGTCTACATATTCGGTTGACAAGTGGGCACAATTGTATTTAAAGGAGATTGTAAGGTTGCATGGTGTACCAGTTTCTGTTGTGTCAGATAGGGATACGCGGTTTACTTCTCGATTCTGGAAGAGTCTTCAGGAAGCCCTTGGTACACAACTGAAGTTTAGTACAGCGTTCCATCCTCAGACAGATGGACAGACAGAGAGATTAAATCAAATTCTCGAGGACATGTTGCGTGCATGTGTACTTGATTTTGCTGGCAGTTGGGACACCTACCTATATTTGGTGGAATTTGCCTATAATAATAGTTATCAGGCAACTATCCAGATGGCTCCTTTTGAAGCACTTTATGGACGGAGGTGTCGAACTCCAATTTATTGGGAGGAGGTAGGTAGTAAACCGCTATTAGGTCCAGATTTGCTACGAACGACCAATGAGGCGATTCAGAAGATTAAGAAGAGAATTTTGACCGCCCAAAGTCGTCAGAAGAGTTATGCAGATATCAGAAGGAAGGATCTAGAGTTTGAGGTGGGGGATCATGTGTTCCTGAAGATTGCACCAGTTCGTGGTGTTTTGCGATTTGGTAGAAAGGGGAAGCTTAGTCCACGTTTTATTGGACCTTTTGAGATCCTCGAAAGAGTTGGCCCAGTAGCCTATAGATTGACATTACCACCAGCGTTGGATGCTGTACATAATGTTTTTCATGTTTCGATGCTGAGGAGGTATGTTGCAGACCCTATGCATATTCTTCATTATGAAGATTTGGAGTTAAAAGAGGACTTAAGCTACGAAGAACAACCCATGAAAATTTTAGCACGGGAAGTGAGATCTTTGCGTAGCAGAGATATTCCCTTCGTTAAAGTTTTATGGAAGAATCAGCAAGCTAGTGAAGCTACTTGGGAAAGAGAAGAGGAGTTTAAACGAGAGTATCCATACCTGTTTAGGGAATTGGAAACTTTCGAGGACGAAAGTTCTTAAAAGGAGGGTAGAATTGTAACAACCTAAAATAATGATAATATGTATTTTGTATGTATGCGTTGTGTGTTTGATAATAATAATAATAATAATAAAATAAAATTAATTAATTAATTTAACAAAAAAAAAAAAACGAAAACGAAGCAGCTGCGTCAAGCAGCTGCTGTAAAGGAGGATGAGGGGCGGCGGACGCGTAGGCTGGAGGCGTGGGATGGATGAGTGGATGATTAGGGGATGTGGAAGCGTATTAGAGC